TCTATTTTGTTGAGCATAATACTATTGGAGATTTTTGAGTGAATGCCATTTTAGATGTACCGTAAAAGAGTTTTACACTTAGAAAGTAAACATTTTAGTTGTCTTTTGTTGGTTTTAATTGTGTGTGTAAAAAAGAATGCACATTTGGGTGTTCTCTATCTGCTTTTCATAAGATATGCACTGCATCATGCTTGGGATTTTTTCCACACAGCCTAACGTAACCTATGAAATGGTGTCTGCACTACCCCTTTAAAATTAACAGCACAAGCACTGGGGAAGTTCCATTGAGTTTGTTATTCCACTTCTGTAATTTTACATATCTGAATTTGCAATGAACTCTGGGATGCAGCAAGTATATATGCTCATGTAATTAACCCTATAATTTCCTGTTCGTTGCTTATTACTGCTTTAGACAATAAAAATTTCAGTTTTTAATTTTTGCTTTAATAAGTGTCCAAATAATACATTTTCTCCCACAAAAAAAAACCAAAAAACATAGTGCTAATACCAATTTAACCAAAGAAAGAAAATCCACACATTAAGTGAAAGTAAGTGAATTATATTTTATTTAAGATTTTAGAAAGGTGACCTTTTATGGTAGGATAAATATGAATGCGCAATCTCTGCTAGGGTCTACGCAAGTTCCCAGAATTCCTTGCTGTCTTAATAACCTCCTGTGGAAAACCAGTGACCCTTGTGGCCTAGTCACTCCTGAATCTTGTGCATTCTCTATACTCTAGGGGCCCAAGTCAGGCAGAAGTGTCAGGTTGTGTGAAAGATCTGCAAATGCCTTCTGACCCCATAAAATATGTTACATGGTAATTGTGTGTTTACATTTCCGAGGGTGACCTTTACCGAGGCTGATATCTCCATGGTAACCCATATACACCATAAAGCAATGGGATTTTATTAGAGTCTGCCTCCTGTGTGTTATTAGAATCTAGCAGAAGTTCAAATACAACCTTGAATATAGCTTATGCTCTTGCTCCTTGACTTGCATTGGAATCATCCAAATAGATTATACAATAATACAACATGACTGAGGACTCCTTTGCTCACCAAATCCCGTTACCCTTCCATTCCCAATCAGTAATGCAACACTATGTTAAGTGGGTAAGGGCAACGGCCACAGCTTTATTTAAACCAGCACAACCAAATACTGTCAGCTGCTGGTTCTACCCAGCAGACAGGTACACTTTAAACTTCTTCCAGAGCCTCTTCAGCCTGCCCTTCGTCATCAACCAAATTCAGGCTGCGACTCCCCAAGCCCGTCAGGGCATTATTAATTTACCAAACTTGCTGGCGCAGGAAACCCGCCACCGCAGACCCCCACCCCCCAAAGCCAACACCTGTGTAATTATTGATTGTAACCCCATATTAAATGTATCCAAACTGACAGGAGCAAGATGTATTAAATCAGTACACATAGAATTCTGGTTATCTCCTTCTAGTTCGACATGAGGAATCACCAATCCACCCAAGCATTGTACGAATCATGATATTGTCATGTTGAAGCGACATCCACCTCACTATACCCCTTTCTGCATTGCGCGCTCTTGACCCAGGTAATTACCACCAGCGTGGATCAGCAGAATTAGCAGTACAACTGGTTCCATCACATATCGCCATAGCGGTCACTCAAGATAACATTGCTGCCAGCGGAAGCCCCTGATCCCACACCACCTAACATTGACCTAGTGATGAATAATCCCAAGATTATACGAACTATGGTCTACCTGACAAGCTGCCCAATAAATACAAATGCCCTAGGATCCAAACATATAGAAAATATCTAGCAATAAAGAAATAAACCAAACATTAAGCATACCCAGGCACCGATAAAAGAACCTCACCTCGCCTCCAGCGCCATCTTGCCACCCAGGCCCACCTCAACTTCCGCAGCACTTGCTGCCATTCCTCCGCCTCGCGATGCACGTATCCTGCCGCCTGGAGCCAGACTCACTCGGCCCCGGACCCTCTGGCGATCAGCACTGCTAGGTTCCCTCAGGGAGGAAAACTCAATTTAATAAAGTAATTTTTACAGGGACTGCCAGGTTCCCTCAGCATTGTTCACCAGTAGTCTGGAATTTTTTCCCAGAGTTCCCTGCTTTCAACTGTAAAACCAACTGTATGCCAACCATCCCTTAGGGCAGCAGTCATGCCCCCCTCCCTATTCGCTCCAGGCTTTGGCCTATACTTCAATGGTCACACACTGAAAATATTTCTCTGAACAGGTAATATTTTATGTAGTTATGTTTTATTTTGCATACATCTCAACCTCTAACTTTGTCACAACTATTCTGAGAGGAAGGGAGGACCCCAATTTGGTAACCTGCTGAGGGTCCTGTCTGTGGGATCTTAATCCTTCTGTGCCAAAAGGGAGGCCAGGCCCAGATGCCAAAAAGAAATGATTAGCCAATCCAAAAGCTCCAAGCACAAAAGGGTATTCTGCCTTCTTAAAAGCCATCACGTGCACTGAAATGTTCTCACATATAGATTTCACAAATTTTTATATTTTTGTCCTAGAGAAGTAGAATTTTCTAGACTTTTGTAGTTGCATTAGGAGTAAAATACACCCATTCCCTTATTTGTTTACGTTGAAGACTTTTTGTTTACGTTTGATGGAGTTATTATGAGTGCACGTTTTCATAGCAGAGAAATAATTTTTCAAGTTTCTTCACGTGTATAACTGCATTCTATAGTGACACAATGTATTGTAGGGTAGATATGAAATGTTATTACCAGTCCGGCCCTAAATGGCCCTATTCTTTATGCTAAGCATTCAAGCTTAAAGTGTTCACAATGTCTCTGAAGATGATTTATTTTTCCCTATCAAATTTAACAGGCAAAATGACTGTAAACACCTTTCAGCTAAAAAAAAATGTATACTCTATAAATCAGCAAGTGGTTTTGCAAGCAACGTCAGCAAGTAGCACTACAGCATTCCGGATACAAACCAGTATTCGTAATGCTCTAGTGTCCCATTTCCCAACTTATTAGGTCCCCCCTACCATCGGATGTTTAATTCCAGAGCCAAGGCCCCCTTTTTGTTGGCTAGGTCCCCTCCTCCCGCGTCATCACGAAACTGATTTGACCTAATGCACATGTGCGGCACCTACCACGTGCATTAAAGTATTGAGTCAGTACTTTCCTATGTGGGTTTGAAGACGTTAAACGTGGTTAACGTATAATTGGCTAGGGAGCATCTCAATGAGATGAGGTGGTCTGGGTGCCAATAATGTCCTATTAATGAATTCCTTGTTGATGTATTAAAGCAAATAAAGGAAAAATAAGAACGGTTACATAATTTCGCAAAATCTATAACCCAACATATCCATGTCAATTATACCCAATGTGTTCCGTATGACAGTGGCACATCCAGAATTGAATCTTGGGAGGGGCACTGGATGTTTAAAGCAGCACTGTCATGCCGAACTTACCCTTCCCCAATCGATTCCTCTTCCCTACCTCTGGCAAGATCTGTTCTTCATTTCTTCCTGTCTACTCTAGTTTTTTTACTAAGACTACTTTGTCTTATGGAGGTTGTAAGGAAACCAAGTGCATTTAAACCTCAATTGGTAGTTTCCCCCCGAACCACCAGAGCCTAGTGAACATAGCCCTCCGTTCGGTAGTTATGGTAGACGAATCCCAGTGTAGTTCCAATAGTGCCCCTGGATAATTCCCTCAGTAAAACACATGAACTCCCAAAGTTTTGACCGACTGCACCGGCAAAGTAGCCGAAAACAGTTCCACGAATTCTGGCCCTGCAGTCGGTCTTAGGTCGCATGGAACACCTCCTGAACGGCCGGCCATCCAGCTGCCATGGCCCGGTCATTCGGTAGTTTTAGTGGGGTTTTACCGAAGTTATGGAGGATTCAGCGGTGTTCGCCTATTTGAGTGTCCGTTTTCAGTTCCAGACACTCAACGGCAAACACCGCTGTTCGGGAGCTAAAATGGCCGCGAACACGTGGAAGTCCTGAAATGGCGACGGTGCATACCGTTCTTGCAGAACTTTTGTCGAACATGCCCAGCAAGCAGGGAGGTAAAGTATTCATAATGGGCAACGGGGTGGTCTTGATTCGGTAGTTTTACCTACCAAATGCCATAGGGAAAGCTAACCTGAAACAAGTGAATACAAATTGTCATTTTGAAACCAAATAGGGGAATTTCTTCACAGAGGTTTCCTACGCCTGACCAGCTTTAACCAGCGGAGGAGCAAAGTGTGCTACGTTTCCGGTGATCAAAGAAATTTTCCCACACTTCTCACATTTGATCTGTGATCTCGTGATGCTTCCTGTCAGTATTCCCGATATTGGGGACATTTTCCTCTGTTCTGCTAAGACCTCAGGAATCCCCGTGCCAAAAGAAAATGGTGACACCACCTCGGCCTCCTCTGAAGACAAAGCGTTGGATGAGCTGGACGAATTCCCAAACGCTGGGGGATTAAACCACCCTTCCTCAGATGAGGAAAACAAGCTGCCCTCTACTAAAGGAAATATATAAGCCCTTCTCCGCAATATCCGCACAATGTTTGCAGCAGACCTAGCCATAATGCAGGAGGAGATACACGCTGTGGAAGGAGTCAAGACCGTAGAGGAGGACACGCAGGGCCTTACAACACCATGCCAAAAGATAGAAGCACAAAATACAGGGCTTTAACAAACCCAGTCCTAGCTTTCCAACCACTTGGACGCAAAGGAGGATTGACTCAGGAGCCGGAACTTCAAAATACAGGGAATCCCAGAGACCGTGATCCTGGAAGAACTGACACAATATGCCAGGAGGCTTCTCAACACACTACTCACGCCACAGCAGGTGAAACCAGCCATGATCAACAGGGTATAAGCCATGCCCGAGAGCTACTAGAGCCCCAGCAGACTCAACAAGAGATGTAACACTGCAACTCTAAAGAAGGTCAGCCCAATTCACCTTATGGCAGCAGTGAGAGGAATATCCACTCACTCCTTCGAAAATGAGGCTCTGTCTCTTTACCTGTCCAGACCTACCTTGGTATGGAGAAGCCTGTTCAGACCGCAGACCACCGCACTCCGCCAACACTCTATCCCATACCGCTGGGCATTCCCCATGAGCCTGGTCATCACGCATGGTGGTACAACATCCTGCATAACCAATGCATCACAAATAGACACTGTGCTCAAAGCACTAGGACTGGCATCAAATTCGGAGCCGACCACCCTCACACCGAGACAAAGGCCCCCACACACCTGGGACATGTCCAAAGTAAAACCGTTCCAGCCAACCGGACCCACCCCCACCCTCCACCTCATTTAAAGCGCACAGGGCTAACCGGCATTTAACGGGCACCAGAAACCCAGAAGGGAACTGTTCACACACTGTTGGCCAGGTAGACCAACTCGCACAAGAAACACACAGCCAACGTCCTCTCTCACATAACAGGCCATGCACTCAGCGAGGAATGTAAACTGGAAATAGGCACTATTCCTCCTGAAACTGCATGAACCTTATGCCCGCAAAAATAAAGAATTTAAAATAAATAAAAAATAACAATAAGAACCTATGGAATAATTACTAAGGTGAAGGAAGAAGCAACGGTCTCTTCCAAAAAAAGTGAAAGCTCTGCTTTAACACTAACAGCTTAATACTGTGCATCATTATGGCATTCACAAACATCACAAACATTCTGCTGGTGGCTGATTTCTACAGAGATGCAGAACAAGTAATTTAGCTAGTTTAGGGCAAGAAAAAGTTAAGTTTAGAGAAAGGTAGAGTTTGTGATACGAATGAGGCAGCTCTGGTGATAAATTCTGTTCAGAACACTAAAAACATAATGTATATTTGCAGCTAAATAAATCTGTCATTCATAAGACATAATTCTAGACAGAGTGCATTTTTTCACATTTCTTCACAACATTCCAATAAAATGATTAATAAAAACTTCCCTCGGAAGTGTCTGTGTAATCATTCCCTGAAATGCTAGATTGCTATTATCTACTATTTAACTACACAGTTCTGCTACTTAAAACAAGCAATGAGCAGGTAATTCAGATGACCAGCATTTGGCAGGTTAAAAAAATACTGCTGTGTGCTCCTTTTCTCCTACCGCTGTAGCGTTAAACTATTCAGTTTACAAAGGCAGCGAGAAAAACATAAAACATATATTAACCTTCTAAATGAAATTGTTCAGCCTCCTGTCAAGTGTCTCCATTTGCATGTACTTGTGAAGCAGAGACCAGTGCTAATCAGTGTTTCAAGTGTTAGAAACAGCATGGCAGAGTCCTCTTTAACCTCTTGCCCTGCTTGTAATGGGCCATTGTATTTAAATACACTCTAAACTTAATGCAGAAAGCCTGTATAAAGCTCTCTCTAATTATATTAGTCATTCTTTCATTAGCAACCACAGAAAGTTCAGGGAACTCTCCTCCAATCTGTCTCGCTCACCTCTGCTCGTGCTTCATTAATCATTAGTCTTGAGTTCATTTCAACTCAATTACAGCCTGCCAAAGGAATATCCCACTCCAAAGGCTTGTGGTGGGGTGAATATGGAGTCTTCCGATTGCTGAACTCTAAACCTCGTGTCAGTCCATGAGCTGTATTACACACAAATCTCAAGAAAAATGTGCTCCCTAAAATTGCCGTTTTGAATGTGTGCAATGATTCATTTGGATTTATGGGTAAAAATCATAACGTGAGATGCATGAGTCAGAAATACAGACTTACAATTAAAGAAGCCAATGAATAAGCATTGCGTTAAACCTATATAAACCTTGACAGGGTAAAATCCTTACAAAACACTATGTACGTGTTCAACACCTACACACAGTGGTGCAAAAAAAACCTCTGGTAATGGATGGGGTATAGAAGGATCTGTTTTCAGGAGGAGGAAAGTTCTACAAATGTACAATTCATTTCATACTTCAAAATAATACTTTCTGAGATGATAGAGGAAGAAATTGTTCACAAGTGGGTTGAAATATTTCGACAAATTTAGACATGCTAAAAGTGACAGGAGGGAATTCGAAAGCTATAAATGTAGGCATCCTTGTTAAACACTAAGATACATTTTAATTATTTGGTTGATGCAAATTAAACACTTTTGCCAGACCCTTATATAAAAGACTCACCAAAAGTGCTTTGACTTTTTTAAAATCTAAATAGTACCGCGTTATTTATACTTTTCATTCTACTGCAACATTGTGAAAGCATTTTTTTTTTATACAAAAACACAAATTTAAGCCCTGCGCTCAAACTTCCACTACTCCTGGGGGGCGGCAATGACTATAGTACACATCTGCCCCAATACATAGAACAATTTTTTTTTTTTTATCTTCACACTATCCCAAATCCATATGCAAATAAATAAATAGAGGATTTTAGTCTCACTCCAACGGCCATTAAAGTGTTAGCTCACCTGCCACATCAAAACAAACCCTTTTTCATCCTTTAATAACCAATGCATGCTGTGGGTGGTAGGTCACTGCTAAACAAATGTGATGTAGGCATATTATCTGCCAAAGCCTAATGTAACTCAAGATACATTAACCAACATACAGGCATGTCCCCCATTCAAACTACCGTTGCTTGTTCCAAGATAGTTTTCAATTGACAACATTGCCAAAGTTCTATTCTTGAAAGTACAATTATTTATACTGTGTCAACATATTCCGCAGTACTGACGATTTGAATGTGGCATGGGTGGGCATTCAATAAAGGGGAGTCAGCCATGGGAAACAGTTTTGTGACACATGTGAGACGGAGTCATATTTATGCATCATTTGTTTATATTCTATATACACTTTGTTCACAGCTATTATGTGTCTTGATTTTATATATATTGTATTATTATTATTATTATTATTACAATAATAGTTACAATATCATAAGAGATTTAACTATAAATAGGACAATTACAAGACAACTTACAGGAACAATAGGTTGAAGAGGACCCTGCTCAAACAAGCCTACAGTCTACAGTAGGTGGGGTATGAAAAACATTAGGACAGGATACTTTTAGAATTGATTCAGTAGACAGTAAGCTGGGGCGAGTGGATATGAATGGACAATATTATTAATTCAATTAAAACAGGAATTATGAAAAAAATTAAGTTTCCAGTTTGGCTATTTTGGCAGAAAATTTTAAATTTAAATTCTCATTTAGTGAATAACCACAAACTATGGACTACAATGTCAAAATTGTAAAAATCTAAAATATTTTGATGAGAAGTTTGCATCTTAATTGACAGCTCACCGCATCTTTATTAAATAGGACACCCCCCACCCACCCATGCCTGGATACTCGCCAGGTATTGCGAACAGTGAATTAGCAGCAAAGCATGATAGAATGCTTGGATTTCGTGCTCTGCTTTTAACAGTCCAATATCATCTGTCGACTTTGAGGTTGACCTAGGGACCAGGGCAGCCTGCAATTTATCAAGATAAAATGCTTAGGTTAGCCCTTTATGCACTTTTATAGAAACAAGGCTTACTCAATCGAAGTAAAAATGATAATGTAAGAAACATGTTCCAGTGCATTTTGTTAACCTTTGTAAGTGCTGGATGACTCACGGTGGCATTTGTAATCCCCTTTAAATGAATGCTCTGGGGCCAATTTTTATGTAAAGTTAGCCTGACTATTACATCCCATGCAATAAAATAACAAATAAGAAAAGGTCCCACATAGACACGTCACATTTAAAATGGAACCACTGCAATTTTATACAGAAAGTAATAATTCACTAGCTCTTGCCCACATTTCAATAAACAGGAATAACTCAAGTGGCTAAATCATTGCCACGCTTTTAGCCGGTATGAACACAACACAATTAAATAACTAGACAGGGCAAGGATATTAACAATATTTAAAGCCCTATGATTATCTATTGTCTTACACATGTGATTATAAGTACGGTTTCTTAGCTCCCCAAAATGGTGTGACCGCATTCCAAGTCCAATTATATTGTATTAGACAGTACAACATGCCTGTCATTTCTAATGGAGAGATGCTTTAATTAGAGCCCCTGATTAGATAACACATCATTACAAGCCTTTAACTAATAACAGAAAGCTGTGGATGCCAGTGTGTGTGTGCATTTGTGCAACGGGGAGGGGGTGACCCCTTATTGCTTTGATTCTCTTAATGCAGATAGCTTTTTATCTAAGCACTTGGAGGCATCTCCCCCTGATATGTTAATTGCAGAGTGCTTTAAGTACTCGAAGATTAACATAAAACCCTTTGCAAACAAGCTAATAGTTTATGATAATTTCTGTGCGGCCTTTGTGTGTCTATCATTGTACTGCCTCTAGCTGTAATTTTATAAAGAAGCTGTAAAATATCATTTAAACGTGCTCATTTACACATAATTATTACCGGGATTACATTATTCAATTTAGCTCCTCTCGCCTAATAACGAGCCCCAAACTAAAATGTAATTAAAATATTTTCCTTTTATGAAGCTATTCATTACAATGTGTGGTGTGTGGGGGGGAGCGGGGAGGTTGGGGTGATGCTTCAACACTTTGTTGTACAAATTGACAAGTGTGGCACGTAGTAAGAGATGGTAATTACATTAGAAAGTCACTTCTGACAGTTTCTTTAACTGAATGAACAGAGGGTGAAGGGAGATGTCAGCTCCCCGAAAACAGCTGGCATCTACTCATACACCCACCTAGTTCCTACCTTGAAAAAAGTTATTATATCTGCCTGTGGCTCAGCAAAGATATGCTACTGTGAGGAAAAAAAAAAATGTATAGTCAGTCAACAGTCCATGAATAACCTATTATGACCTATAAAATCATCACTGCCCAATTTCTTTAGGTCTGCTTGCAAAAGCTCTTCCTTGTCACCTCGTCAGGTGGGTTCTCTGAAATACAGAGGTCCCACATCTGCATTTATCGATTCTTCCCTCATTATTTTGTTCTATGGTGCAGACAAAATCCCAGATGACTGTACGCTGTAAGGTCTCTTTTCTTCCTGATCCCGGTTACTTTATTTTGTGAATGATTTGTTGTTGTATACCCCCTTACAAAGTACACGTAAGAATATGTTTTTATTTTTGTAATTCAATGTATATTTGGTTTCACGTTTTCAATGAGTTTCACAGCAAAGTAAAAATAAATCAAGTTAGCATTAACCTAGTAAACCTATTGAATGTATGCCAGGCTGCCTGACAATCAAGTAAAAGTCGAAAATCAGAGCTGTCCTGTTGAAGTAGTGATGGTTGGGGGCATGTATAAAATCCCCTGTTTAATATAAGAAGTAATATTAGGATTATCCTAATAAACCAGAAATTAATAAATTAACATTGATTTAATAT